TCTATTTCATTAAAAGGTGATCAGGGGATAGACTTGGTTTTAGGGTTACAGAGTATCTCAGGGCAAGTCTTAGGGTTTTCCTCTGTTCTCAACTGTTCCAGTTTGTCTCACTTTTCTCTTTCTTTCTTTCTTTTTTTTTTTTTTTCTATTAGGAATGAGTTCTGTTCTTTAGACCAACTATTGTGGTCCTGGTCAGAACAGATGGAATTTTAATTTCTAATCTGTTAAAGAGGGACAAAACAATACTACCTCAGGTGGTATCTGCTTCAGAGTACCTGAGATCACGCAGTTTGCAGAGTGCCTGGGCCACACATAGAAGTGACAAGATCATCATGATCTTATTTTATGAGACTGAGCTTCTGCCGTACATTCAAAACACCACACCCAGATTTGCTTCACAATCGTAGGACCTGTACAACCCCCGGCACATACTATATGCTTAGTAAATACATGCTGAATGAATTATCCAGCTTCTGTGCGTGTTGTACATCAGCCCACTAATAAACATGAGATAAAACCACATTCAAGCAATATTCAAACAAGTGAGATGCATTCCCTGCAATTGTCTCCCTTTATTGCATCCTATGTAATAATGGCTTTTTCATCCATCTGGGATTTTCCCCTCTGGCAACTCAATTTCCCTCTCCACCCATTTACTTTGTCCCTTAGGTGAGCAAACCTCTTACGCCCACCTGTCCACTTGGCCATCAGCCAATATGAGTCTTCCTGCTCTTCATAATTGCTTGTCTTGATTGACAGCCTGGCAAAGTAGGATAGTGAACCATGGTTATAGTAAAAACATACACCAGATTGTTTAAGATGTGTGAGAGAAACAGAAAGAATGAATAGTGATGGCAAAATTTGCTTTTCTGGTTTTCCTACTTTATTTGACAAGACTATCACTATAGGAGGATTACTGGTAGATGAAAGAATAAATAGGATTTGTTGTGGTGGTTGTTAAGTACCGTCAAATCAGTTCTGACTCATAGCAACCCTGTAGAGGGTTTCCGAGGAACAGCTGGTGGGTTTGAACCGCTGACCTTGTGGTTACAAGTCCAGTGCTGATCCTACAGCACAGCAACGAAGAACAAATTCCTCAGTACTGTCAAAAGTTCTAAGAATTTCAAAGGCCCAATGCAATGACACTCAAAATCCAGGCAGAGAAATTTGTAGGAAGCAAAGCATGTTTAATATAGGACGGATTCTAACGTAGCCACAGAGTTCTGTCGACATGCCAGGAAAAGAAAAACAGGACAGTATTAATTCAGTAGAGTCCCTTTGTTTCACACATCTCTTTTCCATTTCTGTACCTGCAATGTCAGCACTAGGAGACAGCCCAGAGGGGAAATACTCTCCACACCCGGCTACCCACAGATTTTCAGTAACCTGAGACTCCAAATATACAGGGCAGAGAAAGAAGAAAAGAAAATTCTGTTTTCCTTAAAAAGAGGTCTTCCTGATTCATTAACATCTCATACAATGCTCATCATTTGATTTCTGCTAAGATAACCTTATTCCTAGACTCTAAAATGAATGGCTCTAGCACTTCCACCCACAGGTTGTTGTTGTTAAGAGCCATCGAGTTAGTTCCAACTCATAGCAACCCTGTAAAGGGTTTCCAAGGAATGGTTGGTGAATTTGAACCGCCAACCTTGTGGTTCAAACTGACCTTCCATTCCATCCACAGTACCACACCAGGATTATATACATTTTATTTTAAAAAAAATATGTAGTGCTGCTGTAAATTGCAGGACACTTTAAGAAATTGATCCTTTCCAACTGAGCTCTGTTCACCTCATTCCCCAGATATATGGGGAAGGAAAAAAATATTTCTTATTGGTGGACCTTTTGTTTGTACTCAAACATAGAACATGAGATTTTACTAAGTTAAAAATGTTTTTAAGAGTGCATATTGTTGTTGTTGTTGTTAAGTGCCGTCAAGTCGGTTCCGACCCATAGTGACCCTATACAGGGTTTCCGAGGCTGTAAATCTTTACAGGAACAGAAAGCAGCTGGTAGTTTCTAACTGCTGACCTTGCGGTTCACAGCCCGATTCGTAACCACTACGCTACCAGAGCTCCTTAGGAGTGCATATATAAGAACTGTGAAAGCTGATGATTAGTTTACAACTTATTTTTAAGGACATGTATAAAGTTTACTTGAAAATGAAGAGTCTTGTTTCTGTTTACTCCATTGGTAAGTTTACTAAGGCACTGTGCTGCTGTAGGATAAACACTGGACTGCTAACCACAAGGTTGGCAATTCAACCCAGTCAATCCTCAGAAACCTTATCCAGGGTTGTTGTAAATCAGCACTTAACAACAAATAACAACAACAAAAAGATGATCCAACAGGAAGCAGCAATACAATACAGGAACAAGCAAAGCCACATTTCTGCTCCTTGGAAACCCTAAACAGGGTTACGTTGATCTGATAACGTCCTAGCCATCAAATGAAAGCTATGAAATTGACAGATAATAGTAGTCTACAGAGTTCTAGTGTGGCACTGTAGGATAAGCATTGGACTGCTAACTGCATAAGGTCAGCAGTTCTGGTGTTGGGCTACAATATAATGCGCTGGACTACAAGGTCAGTTTGAACCATAAGGTCAGCGGTTCAAACCCACCAGCGGCTCCTTGGAAACCCTATACAGGGTTGCTGTGAGTTGGAACTGACTGGATGACACGTAATAACAGTGATATAGTCAACTTTCAAGATTTCAACTGTATACCAAAATTGTACTGAATTTCAGATCTTGCTTCTAGATAGAAAAGTAGGGGAAAAAAGAAAAAAGAAAAAAACCTTCCGAGATTTCCAGGCGTTGGGTGTTTAAAGGGCCTCTGCATAATAAATCAAGGTATGGCTGTCTTGGTTTCTCCACAGCCAGACAGAAATAATACTGTACAAGCAGAGGTGTGAATTACCCTCATTCATCTTAATGGAGTGTTAACTTCAAAGACTTGTTTTAACCATTTAAATGCTTAGCTCCTGAGTAAACATTCCATTAAAAAAAAAAAAAAAAAAAAGCACATTTTAAACATTTACCTTTAATTTACAAAAGTTAACTTATATTCAAGTATTTCAATTTAGCAAACAGGTCACCAAATGTTCAAAAGCAGATATTTTTATGCTTTACTGGGTTTTATTTTAAATCATTATGACCTAATAAATTATGAACATTAAGCCCATAGTGAGAAGGCCTGTATTTCCCCGAAAAAAACTGCTGAGGAATGCTTAAATACAGTTTTTTAGTCATCCCAGTAAAAGAGGCACTGTTCTCAACATCCATCTGACTAGTTTCCTCCTCACTTATAGGGGCCGGTATGTTAAAGTATGTAAGGCAGAATGTTAAAGTAAAATGAAAAAGAATGTCTTCACAAATAGTTGTGTGCAGAGTGTTCAGTAGGTTATTTGTCCCTTTGTCAAACCTCCCATGACCCCATTCTAAGAGCAGGTGACAAATATATTAATTGATGCACAGCTGTCATTACAGTTAACATTTGCCCCAGGGGCCACCCTTGCATCTGTTGCAGATTTAGGGTTATTTTAGTATTAATGGAGTTAGATTTATGTAAGCAGCTGAACTCCTATTTGTATTTGGACCCATCATTTCATAAACTGAAAAAGTGGGTACAAGAAATAGCTTATCAGATTGATGGGCTCTAGCTGACCTGGAGCCATTCCAGAGGCCCTGCCTGGTTATGCCCTTGGGGCCATGCTAAATGCTTAGTTTCAAGGAGGCTTTACAGTAGGTGAATACAGCTGGGGTAAAACTGTAGGCGAGTTCTAAAAGCCGTGCACGTGGGGCCATGCTCTGTGAGTGAAGGCTAGAAAAGATTCTGAAGATATTCGTTGTGCAAGATGGAAGATGAAGAAATTCAAGATGTGGTCCCATGTTCTTGATTAAAAGCAAATTTATTTTACTGATCCAGATGAAGACATCAGAGAAAGGGGATAAGCATCTCATCTATTAAGAGAGCCTGTTTTGGTTTGCACTGAATTGATACAAACACATTTAATCCTCATAACACAGTATGTATTAACTCAGAGAGGTGAAGCAGTATGCCTAAACACACTGACATTTGAAATCAAATCTTTCAGTATGGGCTTTTCTCATTACATCACGCTGCTGTAAGACTGCTAAAGAAGTGTCTTAACCCAAAAAGGAAGCTCACTTGTCAATGTTTTTCAGCCCCAGTTTTCTTATTGGGAAGCAAGGGTGCACCTGTGAATGTGTGCATTTCCATATATGCAAAATTATCACTTTGCATGCAATTCCCTACTTTACATGTGCACCAGGATGTAATTACATTTTCACTGATACACAGGCTCTGGTAGGCTGCTAACTCGAGCCGTTTACATAAAACATTCATAGGGTGCAGAGCCTGAGCTTCTGGTTTCCAACCAATAAGGAGCCATGTCAATGGGAAGGGTCAAATGATTTAAAACCCCCAAACAAAAGATGATATAAATTATCAATACGTTCTCCGCTTGCCAAGAAGAAATCACATGCTTTAGTCACAAACTGAGAAAGCTCACAGAACTTTCAAAGACAGGGTCATCATCAGAGTTTTATCTTCTAACGAACAACGGGAAAATCAGCAAAGGTTCTTAGACAAGATTTGGAGGCAGGGCAACATACCAGTGAAATAATCCCACAAACTGCTATTAGAGACTGATGCCGACAACATTAACCCACAAGTTAGGATGCAATTTTCATAAAAATGTAATGCACGAATTTCCCCAAAACCAAATAACACACTACAACAACAAAAAGAAATAATAAAACCCAAAACCAACCAACAAAAGATCAACTCAATATATTTAAGAACATTCGAGTGTGTTTTACATGAAGAATGTTGAAATGGTAAAACATATCTATTCATCACAGACAAAACCAAAACAAAATTGGCTATGCATGCCCACTGTCTTCTACTCCCCCTATCCTGTTTTTCTAAATAAAAATGTTAGCCCATATATGGAGGATTAATCCCAGGCACCTTCTAGAATCATTCTTCTGACATATGAAGGTAAATAATTCTTCATTAAAACTGGGAAAATATTTCTTTCACTTATTAATCCATTCAGAAATGATAAGTGCTAAACTAACACTTCCAACCAAAATTCCAAAGATGAGCAGAGCACAAGCCTGTGGAAATACAAAGAAAAAACACAAAACAATTGAGACTATTTTTTAAAACTCTACTCATCCCAATAATGTGCTTTATATTTCACAAGAGATATTGTTCTTGGTGTAGATAAGATACTTGATGTAAGATGATAAACTATTTATTAAAACAGGATTCCTAATATGAACCGACTCGACGGCACGTAACAACAACAATATTAAATAATAATAATAATAATCAACTTACCCCAAGCTTTTTCCATGACAGAAAGTCCTCTCTACTAAGTTTAAGATAAAACAGCCCAGGGAATATAAATATCAAGCATGTTGATGTACTGGCACCTTTAAGTAGGAGGGGAAAGAGAAAGAAAAAAAAAGAAAAGAGGGTATTACCAGATTCAAATGTGAGTATGGATAACAATTTTATCCATCTTATCCTATGAATTTTTTTGAAATAGGAAACTTACCAACGACACCAAATACATTTCTAATATCAGGAACATATATTGCAAATAAAACGATGATAATGTTGAGTGCTAGAGTGGCTACAGAATGGCGAATCCACGAGAATGGCAAACTGGAGAAAAATATCATCATTAAAGCTTTCCTGGCCTGTAGAGTAGAAAAGGAAATTAGTTCAGCAAAGAAGAAATGCCAATTCAAAATATCTGCTTCTTCTTCTTATTGCTGTTAAGTGTCGACAAGTCAATTCTGACTCATAGTGACCCTATATATAGGGTTTCCAAGGAGTGGCTAGTGAGTTGAACCACCGACCTTGAGATTGAACGCTTATCCTACAGCGTCACACTAACACAAATGATACAGCAGTAACTATGCTATTCTTGCTCCCTAAACAGTTTCATTTCTAGAAAGATCGTATAAGCTAGTCTCAAAGCGTTCACATGCATACCTCTCTGGGTAAGCTTCCTAAAAATTATTTTGCTTTATTTCTAGAAGAACTTTTCTGCACATTTTCTTCAGGTTGCAAACATTTCAGAATTACTAACAATAACACTGTAGGATGAAATCTCAATCATTTTCATTAAACTACACACATAGAAAAACAAAAAAGGAAAAGAAAAAAAAGTATGGCATAGGAAAGAAACACCCTTTACTATTTTAATTGGTATCAACTGTTTCACCACGTGTAAATGGGAAAACCAGCTGGTATGCTTCACATTGCTCAGGTGGACAGCACACCTGTGGTCACATCCCAAAAATGTGTCCCCAGTTCCCGCAGCACACCTAGCACCAAAACCCATACAGTGAGGAGGGGCAAAGAACTGTGAAGGCCCCATTCTTAGGGAACTCACTGTTTAGTCTCAAAACAGCCATCCAGAAGCAGTTACCCACATCCTTTGCTTCTCTTTTCTCAGAAATTCTTAAGATTCTTACGGATAGCAATTTAAGGGCAGCATGAAAATCTGTTTTGCCCCTTAAATAACAATTCCAATGAAACATTTTGACTAAGATTAAACTAGAATGTATGTGTGAAAATAAATGTATAATAAACCAGAAGGAGCTTATTTTTGCTAACTCGACTTTTTCTTCTTCATGCACATTCCTTTGAAAAGAGAATGCAGAATTTAAGAGGGAAAAGAAAAAAAAAAAAAAAAAGACACCAAACCCCAAAACTTTAGAAGTACTATGGTCTCTAAATTGGAAACAATGCTGTGGGCGAGTGTAAATCTAAACTACATCTCCAAAAGCACAAATTAGCTTAGTGGTTTGCTGTTATTTTTGTGCTTTCATGGGGCCATATGTGAGTATGAGGTCTTTGATCAATTACTTGACAAATGAATAAGATATACAGGACTAGATGCAATTCAAATGTCCTAGTCTGCAAAGAATCAGTGTTGCCATATTAGGGAACGGCTACACTAAGCAACAAAACCTTTAAGGGTACTTACAGGGAAGTGGATTAGAGGGACTGTCAAAAGCACAGCAAATAGTATGCATAACTTCACAGTCATGACAACAACATCATGTGGCAAGTATTTACTATAACCTTGTAGTAATTCTGACTCCACTTTGTCTGTAAATAAATAAAAATAATAAGGATCACATTATAAACTACTAAGATAGCAATAATAGCAAACTTATTTTCCTTTGTACAAATAAATGGCTTTTATATTTTGCATTCTCAGCACCAAATCTACCTCTGGCCTTTTTCTTATCCTAGGAAAAACAAATATGAGTTAAAGATCTTTTAAAAACCTATACTCTTTTTTTTTTTTTCCAAATGACATTAGGAACTAACATACACAGAACCTCTAAAATTATGACAATGAATGTATATATGCACCTATTTCTTGATTCCATAATCTGAAGACTTAGAACACTTAAAGTTGTTTGTATATACAGTGCGTTCATGTATATTATTGAATTTTGTCCCTATAATGATAATATGAGTTAAGCAGGTAGGCTCAAAATCATTAAATGACTTTCCCAAGATCATTTAATACCAAGCAGCAGTGCTGTCAACCCAAGTTTCCTGTGTGTATCAAAGACTTTACATTTTCCTCAGTACTACAATGTCTCCTAGACTTTCATAGAGTTTTGTGTACATTATATACTTCAGCAACATTTCATCCATGGATTCACCTTTTTTAAAAACGTGAATGCAGTTTGAGGGAAGTGGTTTGTAGCAAGTCAGCATGCTACTCAGTGACAGGATCTGTTGACTATGCCTTGTCCTGACACCTCACACCGTGCTGTCTGATTCCTATGTCTCCACTGAGCCAGATGAGGGGCGGAAAGAGTGCGGGTGCTCCAGAACACTGCATACCATGCCTGGTGGGGAAAGGCTGAGTCAGCCCCAGACTCATGGCGGCCCCACTGTGATGGCATGCTGCCTGCTTCTGCCCCATTCTCATGATTGGTAGTGGAGCAGACTGTTGTAATCCATAGGGTTTTCACCGGCTGACTGGTGGAAGTAGGATGCCAGGACTTTCTTCCTAGTCTTACTATGGAAGTTCCACTGAAATTTGGTCAGCATATTAGCAATACACAAGACTCCACTGGCAAATGAGTGGTGGCTGTGCATGAAGCGTATTGACTGGGAATTGAACCAGGGTATCCCACATGGAAGGGGAAAATTCTACCACTGAGCTATCACTGCCCCCATGGGGAAAAAGTAGCTTGTATTTAAAACAGAATTGTGCTTTTCTTATTTGACAGCATGGAGAGAAATGAAAAAACAAATCAAGTATACCTGTTTCTAAGGATCTGAAACTGTCCATTACACACATATACTATATATACATATAAATGGTAGAAGAAAGGTCTAAACAAAGAGCTATGAAGAGTCTGGTACCATACAGCTTTGGGGAGGGGTAAACAAGATGAAATCCAGGAAGGCTCTGTGGAGAGGCTTCATGATATACAGGCACTTGTTTTGTGCTTTTCGGAGGTGGCATGTTTGACAAATTGAAGGTCTGAAGCAACCTTACACTAAGCACGTCTATCAGTTCCATTTTTCAGCAGCACATGCCCACTCTGCATCTCCTGTGTCCCATGTTGGTAACTCTCACAACATTTCACACTTTTTCATAATGCTGTCGCACACTTAATAGACTACAGTATAAAGTAAATGTAAATGTAACTTTTATGTACACTAGCATTGGACGACTAATTGCAAGGTCGGCAGTTCAAACCCACCAGCCACTCCTTGGAAGCCTCATACAGACTTGCTGTTAGTCAGAACAGACTCAACGGCACTTAACAACACAAAACCAAAAAAGAAAAAGTAGTGTGGTTGCCTTTATTGCAATATTCACTTTATTACAGTCATTTGGAACCAAGCCCACAGTATCGCTGAGGTATGCCTGTACTGAGCACCAGATTCTGACTTACAGCCATTCTATAGGACAGAGGAGAAATTCCCTTTGGGGCTCCCTCACAAGGCTGTAATTTTTACAGAGGGAGCATGGTGCTTCTGTAGGGTAAGCATTGAAGTGTGAACCACAAGCTGCAGTTTGAGCCCACCAGCTGCTCCTCAGGAGAAAGATGAGACTTTCTGCTCCTGAAAAGATTTACAGCCTCAGAAATCCTATACAGGGTTGCTATGAGTTGGAACCAATTCGATGGCACTTACCAACAAAATCCAACAACAGATTTGCTGAGAGTATTCAGTTGATTAATGTATGCGTGCTGACAGTCAACGACGATGTGTGTGAAGACGCTCTCTAGGAGGAAGACCCAAGTAACAAAAACCATGAAGTAGCAAAGGAATGTTCATCTGAGAAATGAGGAGTCGAGTAGTATACTACAATGGCTGAAATGCAGTATACTGTGGAACAAAGGGAGAAGTGGGTGAAAAGATTGGAAGAGTGCTCTTTGTCGGGTTTGGATTCATTCTGGTAGGCACAGACATGCAGTCATTACTTATGAAGACTAGCATATTATGACCCAAACTATGCAAGAGGATAGACTGGCCCAAAACCAGGGATAAAGAAGATAACAAAAGTCACAGTAAGAGAGAAGTAATGAGAATGTGCTCTAGACTAGTCACAATGGAAATGAGAGAGACACTGATTGTGTAAAGTACCAAATATATTTTATACAAGGTGGGACTGATGGATTAAATAGGAGGCTCAGAAGAGCCAGGAAATCTAAATTTCATTTCCAAATCTGTGAGATACGTGTACGTCTTTGAAAGATATGGCAAACTATTTTATTAACATTTGTGGAATCATAAAAATGAGCTATTAACACTTATTGCTTAATAACCTCATAGACATTTAAAAGGGTCTGGCCGTTATGCAACACTTGGCTCCTCAAAGGAACACTTTTTTCTTCCTTGCCTATAACGTTGTAACCTTTGCAATCAGAGCAAGTTTTGTAAATCAAGGTACATACTTACAGGTCCCTTTAATCTGACAAAACTTAGATACAAACTAGGCCTTTGGAGCACTGGATAAAAGGATCCCCAGCAGGTCTGGAAGCCTGAAGAACTAGATTTATTACAAATTCAAAATATCTGTCACATGTCTACTTTCTACCATCTTAGGATGAAAACCTTTCATCTGAGCCAGTCTGGTCTACCTTCTTAGCTGAACCTTAACATATATAAAAAGGGTAGAGTAAACCATGCATCTCTGAGTCACAGAAATCTCTACAAATCCTAGTGAACGGCTGAAGGCGACCTCAGAGCACCATCGAAGACAGGGGGCGCTCTTGGTTAATGATATTAAGTGCCGTCTAGTCGGTTCTGACTCAGAGTGACGGTGTATATGATTTCTGAAAAGTAGCTGGTGAGTTTGAACCGCCAACCTTGTGATTCAAACTTACCTTGCAGACCAATGCCTTATCCATTGTGAACAGCAAATCAATGTTTGAGTGTTTCTCAACTTTTACACTTGTCTGTAAATCTATCTAAACTTCTACGGACCTCCCTATACCATGTGATCTTTCTTAGCTTGCTAGTTTTTCCATTTGATACGCTAAAGAATTTACACTGATGTATACGGGATTAGGTTCAAAGACAACATAACAGATTAACTTGATAACCAGGCAAATCCCTGTCTAAGAAATCTTTCCTTTATATGCATTTTTATCCTATCTGATCTCTGAGGTCAAGCAACAGTTACAGACAGACAGATAGATTGATATAGGTAGGTATAGGTTGGTGGTGGGGGTTGTGTGCCATGGAGTTGGTTCCGACACATGGACCCGGATAGGGGTGTCAAGGCTATAAATCTTCACAGGAGTAGAAAGCCTCATCTTTCTCCCACAGAGTGGCTGATAGATTCAAACTGTTGACCTTGTAATTACCAGCCCAACTCATAACACATTATGCCATGAGGGCTCCTTACAGTTTGATTGTTGTTATTATTAAGTGCTGTCAAGTTGGTTCCTACCCATAGTGACCCTGTATAGGGTTTCCAAGGAGCGACTGGTGAGCTTGAACTGCTAACTCTGTGGTTCAAACTGACTTTGCATTGACCCACAGCGCCACACCAGGACTCCACTATAGGCTGGTAGGTACACAGGTATAGCCTGGAGCTTTTCCCAAAAGTCCCCTTTAGCTGAAACCTGGAATGGGAGAACAGCGGGATTTATATTTACAGCATAATGACTGACAAGGCAGCGCAATAATACAGGCACTGGCTCTGGAGACAAACAGAACAGGATAGAAACCCCAGATTCATTACTTCTTAACTGCATGTATCTGGCCAAACTGCCCAACTTATGTGATGCTATGATTCGAAACTGACTTGATGGCACTTCATAACAACAATAACATAGGGTATGCGTTGCAGAAGAACAAGTTGAGAAAGGAAAAGGCTTTATACTGGACTACAGTTATACAGAGGAGACCTGGTGTGGCACTGTGGGTTAATGCGCCAAACAGCAAAGCCGTTTGAACTGCAAGGTCGGCAGTTCAAGCTCACCAGCTGCTCCTTGGAAACCCTATACAGGGTCGCTATGGGTTGGAATCGACTCCACGGCACTTAATAACAACAACAATAGTTATACAGGAGTCCTGGTGTGGCTCAACCCATGTGACCCAGGTTGCTGCAAGAATTAAGTCAAGCAATGTATGTAAAATATTTGTTGCTGTTATGTGGCTGAGTCAGTTCTCACTCATAGTGACCCTGTGTACAGTTTCAGAGAAGCAGCTGGTGAGTTTGAAATGCTGACCTTGTGTTAGCAATCAAGTGCTTATCCTGTAGCATCACACAAGGACTCCAAAATACTTAGTACTTACTTAACAAATATTAGCTCAATAAATGTATTAGCATCCAACCCTTCTCCAATTCCTTTGTATCTAAGCTCTCTTATAATTTAGCACAACTCTTAAGTTGTGAATCGCAACTGACTCAACAACACTTAACAACAATGACATTCTGCTGTACTCTTTTACAGTCCTGCTACAAAGGAGCTCTGGTAGCGTAGTGGTTACGAATTGGGCTGCGAACCTCAAGGTCAGCAGTTCGAAACTACCAGCTGTTCCGTGGGAGAAAGATGAGGCTTTCTGCTCCCGTAAAGATTTATAGCCTCGGAAACCCTGTGCAGGGTCGCTATGAGTCGGAATCGACTGCATGGCACATAACAACAACAACAACAGTAGCTTACTGATAACAGTTTTACTGAATTCAGGTCTTCATAAAAATCAGAAAACCCAAAAGTGAAAAACTGAACTTGTGCATTTCCTGAATTTTGTTTCATTAACAACAATCCTCGAAGCCTGGCTATCTGGTTTAGCTTTCTTTGTGGCATCTCCAGCAAGGCACCATGCTTTCATCACAATAACGCTTCTCCTGACCTCTACCCTTCTCTTGTTGGCAAGGATATATGAGTAAAACTGCAAGAGCAGATTTAAATTAATGGATAGCCTTTATTACTGTGGAAATCATTTAGAAACAGCACACACAAACACACAAAAAAGAATCATATAGAGACAGCAAACAAAAAAGACTACACAGAGTCATTACAGCTTTCTCACACATAGAAAACCCCAAAATAATACTCATAGCATAGCATTCCCTGAAGAGCTACTGCATTTAAATGAAATATTATGATAGTAAGAGAAAGTGGGTTACTAGCTGGGCTACTAACCACAAGGTCAGTAGTTCAAATACACCCGTCACTCCTAGGGAGAAAGATGTGGCTTTCTGCTCCCACAAAGGTGTATTGCCTCTGAAACCTTATGCAGGGTCGCTGTGAGTCAAAATCGACTCCATAGCACACAACCACCATCACTACCACCACCACCAAGAGAAATGCAGTGCCCTGAAAAACAGAGCATGTGAAATTATAAAATAATTGTAATAATAATGGTAATAGTAATAGTATCACACCACCAGGAGTAGCTCTTATTTGAGGAGGACTACACAGAGGCCTGGGGTAGCACTGTGTGATCAATGCTGGACTGCTACCCACAAAGTTGGCAGTCCAAACCCACCAGTTGCTTCAGGGTTGCTATGAGTCAGAACTGACTCTACAGCACACATCAACAACAGCACCTTGAGAAAAGGCCTGGCTTTCTACTTTTAAAAAACCAGCCACTGAGAACCTACGGTAGAGCGTAGCTCCAATCTGACAAACAAGGGGCTAACTCAAGCAGACAGCAAGTGAATTTTGATTTTGCTATATACCAGATACTATAACAGGTACTTTACATATATAACTCACCTTTTCATCTATACAACGCTATGCAGTAATCCGTCATGCTACAGATTAAGAGGAGTTATAAGAATTTGAAAATTGAATAAAATCTGTACTATAATTTGCTTGTTTGCGAATTAAACGAGAGCTGACAATTTTTCTTTTTTTTGTTCTAGAGTTTACATTTTACTCTTGCTTGAAGTTTTTATCACAAAAGAACAAAATATACTAAGCAGACAATTTTAAAAAATAAATAAAAGAGAATTAAAATTTTAAGAGCTTAAAAGAATACTTTTTTTAAATTAAGGAGAACAGTGGTAGTGCATTATAGAATGTGAAATCTGTTGAACCCTGTGATAATTAAGTCTGAAGTCAAACTTCATGTACATAAACATGCTATGTTGTTGTTGTTGAGTGCCTTCAAGTGGGTTCCAATTCACAGCAACCCTGTATAGGGTTTCCAAGAAGTGGCTCAAACTGACCTTGCAGTCCAGTGCTCTGTTCCACTGCCCCACACCAGGACTCCTGTTTTTTTGTTGTTGTTGTTAAGGTTTTTTTTGTTTTTTTTTTGTTAAGTGCTGTCGAGTCGGTCCTAACTCATAGCAACTGCATATAGGGTTTCTGAGGAGCAGCTGGTGAGTTTGAACTGCCGACCTTGTGGTTCCAACTAACCTGTGATCCAGTGCTTATCCTATAGCACCATACCAGGACTCCTGTATAACTATGTTGTTGTTATTGTTATAAAGTGCCGTCAAGTTGGTTCTGACCCATACAACCCTGAATAGACTTTCCAAGGAGCAGCTGGTGAGATTGAACCACCAACCTTGCAGTTCACACGGCTTTTGCAGTCTGGCGCATTAACTCATGGAACCACACCAGGCCTCTTGTATAATAACTATGGTGGTGGTACACCATAGAGTTGGTTCCGACTCATAAAGACCCTGTATCCCTATCAGAGGCTATACATCTTTACGGGAGCAGAAAGCCTCATCTTTCTCCTGTGGAACAGCTGGTAGTTTTGAACTGCTGACCTTGAGGTTAGTAGCCCGACTCGCAGCCACTACGTACCAAAGCTCCTTCTTGTATAACTGTTGTTATTGCTGTTAAGTGCTGTCAAGTCAATTCCTACACATGGTGACCCTGTATAGGGTTTCCAAAGAGCAGCTGGTGAGCTTGAACCACTGACCCTGCAGTTCAAACGGCTTTGCGATCTGGCACATTAGCCCACAGTGCCATAACCAGTATAAATCCTTTACCTTTCTCAACTTGCTGGTTTGCAACTGAGATGAACGGCCCACCTCATAACGTGATGTTATTGTTATTATTAAGTGCCATCAAGTCATTTCAACTCACAGTGCGTCTAGTACATCAAATTCTCAATTAAAATCAAAATCATTACTGAACTTTCTCTTTTCTTGTACAAAGACATCCATGTCCCTAAGCTTGAAGTCTTGCTTCAATGTTTAAGAAGTTTCATATGAAGTTAATACACTTGAACTTACTTTACCTTTATAAAAAGTGAATAATTTCTTTAAGGTCTCTAGAGCCACCACATACACTGCAGTGTAATCTAAGCTTGGACACATTACCTTACTAATGAAGGGAAGTTCATACTCAGGGGTGAGAACATCTCTATGACAATTTATCCAGGGTCTTGTTATCTATAATCAAAGAATATACTTACCATAAAAAGTGAGGTACCCAAAGAGTGCAGCTACGAAATAAATGAGAAAACTTAAAACAATCGCTGTATTGGTTACATTCTGCATTCGTTTCTTTGAAGGGCTAAAAGACAAAAATGGTCAAAGTATAGTCAGCGATCTGATTTATACCTAAAGAAACAAACACCTCCCAACCCAGTCAAGAGGATTTCTCACTCATTCAAGCCTCAGATCATTAATAACAATACACCAGAATCTCTGATTTGAAATGACTACACAAAGATTGTACTTTCAGGTGGCATTCTCAAATTGGACAAAACGAACTCCTGGTTTGCTTGTTTTTTGTGTCTGTGTTTTTTTAAACCAACATTTAAAATCTAGTGATGAGAAAAAGCATTAATAAATGAGAATGCCACCCAATCTGAAAATCCTTGGGGTAGAAATAATATATCCTTAATAGATTTAACTATTCCAGGATTCTGTGTTACCTTTGAAGTTCACAGTATATGGGCAAGACTGAGGTATGGCAGAGAAATGAAAAAGCCATCGTTGGTATAGCATAAGCACTCTGAAACAATAAAAAAGGTGAAATTCTTAAACGTTACTCTGTTGAAAGAATGACTTCATTTGACAATAAACTCAATTCTTCCTGAAAATCAATTTGGTTACATTTATTTCGTCTTTCAAGAATTTTATCTTTACAAGATTTTATTATTATCATTAAGGAAGATACAGTTGTGGCCAACAGCAAATGTTTGATTTGACTGTTGGCTTGCCAGCACAAGCCAGTATATTTCTTCCTATATCATGGTGTATTTGCAAAACAACAGATTTTGCATTACCAGATGCAATACTAAATAAAGTTAAATATCCTTCCCTAGTTGCAATGAGTTGGAATCGGCTCCATGGCAGTTGTTTTGGCTTAGTTTAAAGACAAAATAAAAATTGCCATTTTAGTTTATCTACATCACATTCTTCTGTATTATTCAAGATAAAAATAATTTAGGTAGCATAAATAATACTTAGTTCGGATAAAAAGAGTAACATTTCAGAAATAAGTTTATTGTAATTCCCAGGCATTCCTAATGTATGTAATTTTAATACATACTGATTATCTACCTGAACAACAATAATAGTTAAAACTTTCATCCATAGGGAATAATGAAAATAGTCTAATATTCTAAAATACTCTCAATCTATAGGGAATACTGTTTAGTATTGTCAGCCATCTTTGACTAGGAACTCTGAATGAGAATGAACATCATGTATTCTCATGGTGGCTGTGTGCCATGGAGTCGATTCCAATTCATAGCGACCCTGTACAGGGTTTCCGAGGCTGTAAATCTTTACGGGAGCAGAACGCTTCATATTTCTCCCATGGAACAGCTGGTAGTTTCGAACTGCTGACCTTGCGGTTAGCAGCCAGATTTGTAACCACTACGCTACCAGAGTGCCTTTCATCTATTCTAGGTTTATAAATTCTTAGCAATCCAGCTAAATTTTTTTTTTTTCTCTCCCCTTAGAATATGCAAGAGCTAGAGGAAATAACAAAAACAAACTGATGTTACTGTCTATGCAAAAAATATTGAGGGGCTTATACTTTCTCTTTCTTGCTCTTAAAATGACTTCTCCTTAACCAACTCTAAGAGTCCTGGTATGGCACTGTAGTTATAAGCACTGGACTGCTAGCCACAAAGTCTTCATTCACATCCTTGGAAACTATAGAGGGTCACTATGAGTCAAAACTAACTTGATGTTTCTTAGCAACAACTATCATCAACTCTAGGCTCCTTAATAAAAAATGTTCCAGATGGCTTAAGACCTATCTTGAGACATAAAGCCCAGAGACTCCTAAAGTATCTGAGAAAGACTAGGAGGAAGAACGCTCTAGTGTTCCCTTACACTAGATTAGGGAAATGAGAGTTTGACTCACAAATTTTATTCCTGTATTGCTCAATTATCCTGCCAAGATCTTTAAGGCTTTATCAATTTATCAGACAGAAGATGTAGCAACCTCCCCATGGCGCTGGGGAGACATTAAAAATGGGATAAGAGGAAAAAGGTTATGTGGAGGAGCGACCATGCTAATATTCTACACTAACAGAGTTGGACACGCATGGAGAGAGAATCTGTAACCTACAAGATAACATTTCTGCTGAATCAAAATGTATAGATGAAGACACTTTAGCAACAGAAAAACCTGGCACTCTTCTAGAAGGACAAAGCAGACAAACAGGTCTAGATCAGTTTCTGTCCTTGGTTGATGCTCAGAAACCCTTGCAGATACCTCTAGTTTGTGGATGGAGAAGTGGGTATTCTAGGGCCTTAGGAATTTGGTCTTTCCCTCTCCACTCCAGGCACCGCAGATTTCAATTATGGAATGTCAGCCAGAAGGCATATTGTTGTTATTGCTGTTAAGTGCCCTCAGTTCTGAATCACAGTGACCCAGTATAGGGTTTCTGAGAAGCGGCTGGTGACTCTGAACCACCGACCTTGCGGTCCAGTGCTTATCCTACAGCGCCACACCAGTACTGAATTCACTGATCCAATGACGAGGTTATTTAGTAAACCAAGGTTCTACTCACAAGAGAGGAGTTTTGATATAATTGACTATTAACTTTACAAGTCCAGAGGGCAACAGGAAGTCTGTATCCACAGAGGACCTTATTGGCCAGGGCAGACATTCAGTAAATCTGGTCTCTTAAGCAGTGGCCCATTTAAAACAGGCTCCATTTAAAGACATGCCAAAAAAAAGAGGTGGCTGTTTCATAATGGGCCACCCTGTGTCAAATAATATTATTCTTCTGATAGGCAGACCTATACTTAGCACTTTCATGAACATTAATTAGTTGCAGGAACAAAGACCTAAGAGACCCTGTTACACAAATCTTTTAAAACTTGAAATGTGAAAAATCAACCCAAAGTATCTGTTAATAACTTACACACCTCTTTGGAGAAATGAAAGAGCTTTGGTTTACAATCATCTGTAGCATTTGAAATCTGTTTAAGAGGATTGAGAGGGAAAGAAAAACCAACAGCAATTAAGAGTCAGAATATACCAATAAAACTGATAAATTTATTATCATTAGGCTTTCAAATAAAAATATTTCAAAACAAATTTCCAAAATGCAGTATAGCCATTACTGTTTTATTATTTAGAAATAAATCATTAGTCTGATTTTTCCCCCCCCTTTTTAGCTTAAAAAAAAAAGAAAGAAAGAAAACATAAATTATTACCTGGAAAGATTCCTCTATGTAACTTAATGTCAGAGGACAAGGAATGGACCATTTTTTAATTATTACCTATAAGAATAAAGTCAGCACTTAAATGATTTTTTTGTAAAACATATGAAAAGAGATTGATTTCAAATAGATTTTCTTTACTTCAAATAAATCTAGCATCATACCAAATAAGATGCTAACAGAAGATTTTTTTTTGCTCATATGATTTCCCCCAGTTCATGTTTAAACAGAGCTAGTTACAGTGGGTCCTGGTGTGGCGCTGTGGGTTAGTGCACTAGACTGCAAGGCCGGCTTAAACCGCAAGGTTGGCAGTTCAAGCTCACCAGCCACTCCTCAGAAACTATATAGGGTCATGAGTCGGGACAGATTGCATGGCATTAACAGCAACATTTACAATGGGAATTATCATTCAATAGAGGAAGTCTGACCATGTACTGGGGAGGGGGAAGGTGCTGCTCATCAGTGAGTGGGGATCTCCCATAGCAAAGACTGAGTACTCTGATACCAATTTTCAGTAATCTAATAGCATCAAGGCAATTGAAAAAAAAAAATCCAACTTAATATAGGAACATGATGTCTTTGGTGATAATAGTATTAAAAATATGGTTATTTGTAGACCTGGCATCAGTAGCATTTATAGAAATACTAAGAGCAGTTTTGGAAAAGGCCACAGGCAGAAATAACTGGAGACCTAACACTCACGGAAGCAGCAGTCAAGAGATCAGACGACGTATTGCATTGGGCAAATCTGCTGCACAGGAACTTTTTAAAGTATTGAAGAGCAGAGATGTCAGCTTGAGGACTAAGGTGCACCTGACCCAAGCCATGGTATTTTCAATAACCTCATATGGATGCGAAAGCTGGACAGTGAATAAGGAAGATCGTAGAAGAATTGATGCCTTTGAGTTGTGGTGTTGGAGGAGAATACTGAGGGTGCCATGGACTGCCAAAAGAACCAATAGATCTGTTTTGGAAGAGATGCAGCCAGAGTGCTCCTTGGAGGCCAGGATGGCTAAGCTTCGTCTCTCATACTTTGGACATATTGTCTGAAGGGAACAGTCGCTGGAGAAGGATGTCATGCTGGGTAAGGTGGAGGGTCAGAGAAAAAGAGGAAGACCCCTAACGAGATGGATTGGCCAGGTGGCATCATTGATGGACTCAAGTGTGGCAGCAGTAGTGAGGTTGGCCCAGGATCGGGCATTGTTTCGTTCTGCTGTGCATGGGGTCGCTATGAGTCGGTTCCGACTCGTTGGCACCTGACAACAACAACAACAACAACAACACAAAGGAAGAGCTCAGAGGTAATCTGCCCCAACCTCTCCCTGCCCTTAGTTCTTCATGTTGGATTATTATTCTGGGTGACTGTGGAGAAAGCTGCCTAAGACTAAGAACACATAGCCCAGCTGGTAAAAATAAATAAAAAACAACAACAACAAACCAAAAACATTAAAAGAAATCCAGAGGGATGGTGTTTCCCAGAAATAATCAATGGAAATGTTTCACGGTTTTACTCTTAATTGTGGCCATCCCGTTCCTAGACTTATAGTTGTGGCTGTGTCAACATCTCCATTGTTTCTGAGCACATAATTACTCTGTAAATGTTTGCCCCAGGCTGAAACCCAGCATACAAAAGGGGAAGGGGAAATAAAGAAAGTATTTGTCCTTTGCCGGAGACCAATAAGGAAAACACATTGTAATTTGGTATTCATCTAATTTTGGGATTCTAACTAATTCAATCAAAATATTATGTAGTGATAAAGCAAATATAAAGAGAATATACACTTTAAGGATCACATTAATGAGTGAAATTCCTCTTGATTTTAAAACCCTCACCAAGGGTGGGTATTGGGTGGTGGTGGAGAGAGTTGTAAGGATAAATAAACAGGGTTGTTCTTGTTGTTAAGTGCCGTCGAGTCAGTTCCGACCCATAGCGACCCTGTACAGGGTTTCCGAGGGTGTAAATCCTTACGGGAGTAGAAAGCCTCATCTTTCTCCCGCGGAGCGGCTGGTAGTTTCGAACCGCTGACCTTAAGGTTCGCAGCCCGATTCGTAACCACTACGCTACGCCCAAGTATATTTTTACTACGAAATAAATTTAAATGATCAATGTATCAAAAGGAAAGAAAAAAATCAAAGCAATAATCTCGCAATCTTTTATTCTGATAAAAAAATTCCTATTTTTTCAAAATAGTAGTGGGGATAGAATGGCGGAAGCTAGAGAAGTAGTTACTACTGGCTTCTTTTTCAGTCCTGCTCCATATTGGATTGCTCCTATTTTTCCCCTTACTGGAGTCCTGGTGTGGAGCTGTGGGTTAATGCGCCAGGCTGCAGAACCATTTCAACTGCAAGGTCAGCAGTTCAAGCTCACCAGTTGCTCCTACATAGGCTTCCGCCCTACATAGGGTCGCTATGGGTCAGAACTGACACGACGGCACTTAACAATAACAACTAGCTGAAGTGGGGGAGTGCATGGATGGAGTAAAGTGTTAATGAGCTCGGTTGGTAACTAAAAGGTTCGGCTACCCAAAGGTGATGTGGAAGGAAGGATTTGGAATCCACTTCTAAAAAATCTGCCACTGAAAGCCCTGTATAGGTGTATAGTTGTACTCTGCCACACATGGGTCAGCAATAAATTGGAATGAACTCAATGGCAACTCGCTTTGGTTTTAACACAAGTGGTGGTAACAACTGCCATTCATTAAGCACGTACTTTGTACCGGGAGTCCCTAAATGGCTGTTGTTGCTATTAGTTGCCATTGAGTGGATGCCAATTTATGGCAATCCCATGTGTGCAACATCGGATTGTTTCATGGGGCAGGACTGTCTTCCATAGCATCTCTGGATGGGTTCAAACTGGCAACCTTCCAGCTAGTAGTCACGTGCTTAACATGTTTGGCTGCTAAATGAAAGGTTGGCTGTTTGAATCCACCTTGAACCACCTCAGAAGAAAGGTCTGATGATCTACTTCCAAAAACTCCGCCACTGAAAACCCTGTGGAGCCCAGTTCTATCTGGAAAAGACCACAGGAAGACAAAAGTAGAAACCTTATGCAAAAAGGGAGCTCAGGGATTTCTGATTTCTAATTCCTGCCAGGCTTGCTGAGTTTTTCAGACTTAGTTGGTTTTCTGTATTTCAAAATTTAACACTTTGAGAATCTAAAATAAATATGCCAATTAAAAGAGCATTAAAAGTATACAGAGGGCTCTTCATCTTCCTAATGGAGACGACATTTCAACTCTGCTCTCAGGTCAAGTCATTGAACAGCTGGTTTGTAAAGCATTGTAATAAATGCCAAATAAGGGTATTATTTCCATCTGACGGCCACAGTAGAAATCTGCATCACACTGAGGAGGATCTGTCATTGAATGCCATGAAAATTACAGTAGATGTATCATATCAATGCATTTCATCTGTTTCAAAGTTATTGAT